GAGAGAGAGAGAGAGAGAGAGAGAGAGAGAGAGAGAGAGAGAGCACTTCAATACAAAACGACAAAGGTATGAAGACCTCGATCAACTTCACTGGCAAATTGGTTCCTGATATTCTCGTGCACACCATGTAGATAACATGTGATGCAGTCTATTCCCAAGCTCACCATGAAGACACGATCAGGTCGCAGAAACTCCAGACGGTCAACAAGTCCGTTGCGTGCTTGATCACAATCCCTGCGAGAAAGAAAAGATGGACGAAATTTGGGAAGGTCATGACCATCAGATAGGCACTTAGCACATGAGAGTGGGAAACCAAAGCATGACAAATGACCACACAAAATTGCTCAGAAATAAACAAGCCTCTGTGCACCAACCTGGGGGGCTCTGGACGCCAAGAAACCACTGAGAATGAGCCCTCCCTCTTGGCCCTCAGAAGTTCTCTCTCTCTCTCTCTCTCTCTCTCTCTGTCTCTCTCTCTCTCTCACACACACACACACACACACACACACACACACACACACACACATCTTCTCTGTTCCTTGTCTATGCTATGCTACAGCGATGGTGCCCAACACCTGTCAATGACAGCTACGGTGAGTCTCACTTCTCCTCTCACTCGTTGTTTGAACCCCTGTCAACGACAGCTAATCTGAGTCTCACTTCTCCTCTCACTCGTTGTTTGGGCACTCTACTGCATAACCGCGGTTATGCAAATAATCTCGAGTTGACTGATTGAAAAAAGAATTCCGTATGCTATTTTGTTTCATTGTAGTGGTTTGACTACCCAACAATGGCGACAATTGAAGAATCTTTTGTACGTCACTGATGGTCAAACTTTGTTTCAACCAAGTGCACAGGACCTACCTGTATTTTGTACTTGACCGACTCTTGTGAGCCTCCATATTGACAGCAAATGCTTCTGCCCTTTGATCATCTGACAATTCAGTTCCTGGGCCCCTGAGGCTGGGCTGGACTTGACTGGACTGGACTGAACTGGACTGAACCCTAGACTGGACTGAACTGGACTGAGCCCTGGACTGGACTGAACTGGACTCCCTAAATTTCGAGAACTCTTCCGCCTATTTTTTTCTACTAGACACTATACTTCTGAAACTCCCTTCTGCCTATTTCTTTTCCCCCCACTATACCCTTGCCTATTTCTTTATTTTCCCCAACTGGACCCTAAACTTCCGGAATTCTTCTGGACCCTTGGCACCACAGTGCTGACACAGTGCTGACGTGCAGGTTCCTTGCACTCCCACAGGTGCAGTTTCGAGGTTCGTCACTGAAACTTGTTCTTCTTTGATGCCTACAATTCTGATCTCTTTCAGCTCCGTCGCATATCCAGTCACTATCTCCAGGGCAGTTTCTGTCAGCTCACTTTGAGAAACAACTATCATACTCTACTTCCTCAACCTGAAATCGTACTTTGCACTGCCTCTGACGACGCCCTCTGTCACACTCATGCTCGAATACAAGTTCATAGCTGCACGTTTAGCTTGTTCGGATTCAATGCAAAAAATACCACAAAGATATGGAGACTTATCTGTTCTCTCTCTCTCTCTCTCTCTCTCTCTCTCTCTCTCTCTCTCTCAGACACACACACACACCAAACAAAAAAGAAAAAAAGTGGCAGTGATATTTCCATGTTCTAGCGGAAGATACATTCCGATTTTGCTCATCCTATCCATGGAAGTAGCCTTTCTCTCTCTCTCTGCACGCATGGCTGGACAGCAGTGTATATTTCCATATTCTAGCAGAAGATTCATTCCGATTTTGCTCATCCTATCAATGGAAGTAGCCTCTCTCTCTCTCTCTCTCTCTCTGGCGAACGCGCCGACATTTGCATCTGACAGCACCTTAGTTCATACTCACACCGGGATTTCTTTTCAATGTACATCCGTTGCCGTGCATCTTCCTATGTTCTTTCGAAAGATTCCTTCTCATTTTGCACAATGGCAGGCTGCTCAGTTGATGCACACATGGAAAAAACAAAGAAAAAAGAAAAAAACAAGTGTGGCAGTGTATATTTCCATGTTCTGGCTGAAGATTCATTCCGATTTTGCTCATCCTACGCACACACCGAGGTAATGTATGTATGTACGCGGTTTTTGTCTTTTTTTTTTTCCTGGAAAATACGGGGATCTGGACATGCATCCGGAAAGCGGATCTGGACCGGTCCGGATCCTCCAGAGAATTCCGGTGTTCCGGAAGTCCAAAAGGGCCCGGACCGGGGCCAGATTTGGTCCTGAGTCCGGTCCGGCATAGCTATGATTTCAAACCATAAGGGGATGGAGGGCAGAAAGCAACTTGCCTAAGACGGAAGACTACTCCAGCAAGAAGGCACCGACCCGACCCCCTCAAAGGTCCGGAAAAACTTGGAGAGCCTTCCGCATCGGCCCACGAAACCAAAAACTCTTTTACCAAAAAGTGGCAAAAACAAACAAACATAACAGCATTGGGATTCCCGACATTAATCTCAAACTACACACTCTCGTCACTGCCAAAGAGGAGGAAGAAGATAAGAGATAACTCACCTAAGACAGACGACTCCTCCAGCAGAGACGTGCTACACGCGCATGAAGGAACCCAAAAAAGTTGGAAAAAAAAAAACGGGAACGAAAAAAAAACACTAAATCAGAAAACAAAACACAGAAGTATCTACAGCGCTCTGAAAAACACTGCCATATGAATCTTGTGTCCGCCTTTCTAATCCACAATCCCGCCTGCAATCCTATGGCTTTGTGGTACTGGTACCACAAAGCCATTCCCGCAAATGATACCCGAATGATACAGGCTCGGGAAAAACTGGCGCGCAGGGGGCGTGTCGGTTTGGAAAAACAGGCCCGGGTGTACTGGTGGTTTAAGGGGACAGGAATAGTCTGGTTTTACCTCCTGGGGTTCAGTACCTTAGCTGTTCCTTTATTTCTGTTTGCCATTTCTTATTCCAGTTTCCCTTTTGTTGAAGTTGCAGACAAGGGGACTCTGGACCCGGTTAATGGCCCCAGCCAGCTCTGTCCGGGTTGAGATGTCGAGGAATTCCCGGCCTCATGGATTTTCATATAATAAAACTGCAACTGTCTTCGGGCACACACACACACACACACACACACACACACACACACACACAGAGAGAGAGAGAGAGAGAGAGAGAGAGAGAGAGAGAGAGAGAGAGCTGTCTCTTATACACATCTAGATGTGTATAAGAGACAGGTCTCTCTCTCTCTCTCACACACACACACACACACACACACACACACACACACACACAGAGCTGTCTCTTATACACATCTAGATGTGTATAAGAGACAGGAGAGAGAGAGAGAGACATTAAACAGTATTGCCGCAGGAAAGGAAGTCAGCATGTCACTGATGCTAGGCAGCTCACCCCTCTAGAAAATCGTCCACTGCTGTCTGGATTGCCTTCGCAATCACTCCCCGCTCGAAAAATGGCAGAGCTGGCTCTTGTGCCGGGCTTGTCAACCTTAGCATGGTGCTGATTATCGTAGTCTGCATCAGTGAAAAGATCCCATAACAACACAACACAGAGGAAAGATATGACGCCACTTTGCTCGTGACCACTCATTTCAACCACATTTTCTGAGCACTCATCACCCATTTGGTGCAAGAAGGACATGGTTGCCCACAAATAGAGCTGCAGTCCTTTCCATTTTTCGCGAGCAAACAATCGAAGTCCAGGGGCTGAAGTACAACCAAGGGCATACTCACAGTAGGACTTTCCTAGATGTGACTTAGCATATTTGTAGTCCTAGATTCTGGACTGAGACACCTAGCCTGCACCCGTGGGGATTCAAAACATGATAACTTATGCCTATTTCCCCTATTACCAACTGTATAACAAGCATTCCCAGTGCAGATCCACTTGTGCAAGCAGATCCTCTTGCATAAGGTTACACAAGTTGCTCTGCAGTGCGTACTCCTGATTTACAGTAAATAGCTCCTATGACGATTTCCACTTGCAAAGGGAAAATGCGGAACTGCAGTGTGAACCCCTGCTTTACAGTTAATACTGCGAGGCTTAGCGCCTCGATATGCCCTTCAGGGCCCTCTTTTCACACAGTCGGCCGCCCTAAGTGAAGGCAGGCACGCCCGAGGCCTACAGGCCATTTCAGGGTCACCACACAACTGGGGAAATTCAGGTAGTTGCGCAGCACCAGTTGGTTGGAAGCACCCCGGGCCCAGGCTGCCATCATTGCATGTAACTAAGGCAGGCCCTGGGCCGGATACACAAAGTGGACCGAACAAAGGCTGAGGGCAATTGGGTGCTGATAACCGCCCCAGGCCCTGGGCCCGTTTCCTTCGGACTGAGACTCAGCCTCCCTGGGCCTACCGGAAGCTTCTGGGCCGGGGCCCAGTACCGCAGCACAGCACGCAGCAGCAGGCACCTTCGATATAGGGAAGGGCCTGCCCACGCATTGCACAGTCGGGCACTGGCTTCTTTGTGCGCAAGCGCTGCTGCGCTATCGCCTGCAAGGCTCACGCGCTCACGGGCGAGCTGGAAGGAGCAGGCAGCCATAGCCGAGCTGCGCTGCTGTATGCTGGATGGGGCGCACGGTGGTCCTAGGGTGCAAGTGGCATCTGTGAGTTGGGGAAGGAGGTTGTGAGTGATACGAGAGACATACCTGGTGCTTGACGCGTGCGGCATTGGCCGAGATCTGCTCATACTTGGGAAGCTGTTGACATCATCAGCAGCATTGTAGTCTAGGCTAGATAGGATCTGCCATTCGTAGTCTGGGCGCCGAGCGCCAGATAGGATATCAACATTGGTTCTTCGTTGATGATGATGAGACTATTCCAGCATTGTCAATTATGAGCTTTTGGTGTGCTCTTATTTCGTGAAACTCGTGATGCAATTCTGCTTTTGGGTCGAGGTCACGACTATCAGGTCTCATTGTATGATGCTGTTTTATTGCTGAAGTTCGCTATTACTCATCTTCCTTGCAATTTGGTATCGGAGCTGTGGTTCGGTGCGCTAATCTGGCACTCATCTTCTGCCTAATGCGGTACATTCACGCGGTGTGTACGCTGAGCAACCGTGCCATGGGACGTGTGTAGTGAGGACGGCGAAGAAGTGGCGACCCAGGAGGTGAGGGGTATCGCCAGGAAGGCTGTGTGGTGATTATTGGGTGTTCGGAGTGTGATGAGAACTATCCGGTGTGTGATTGATGCTGAGGTGGAACGGTTGTGCAATGCTGGTTGTGCCGAAGCAGCGATTGGTCATCACAATCAACATCGGGTCATCTGGTGAGAATATCTGTGGTTGGGGGCAGCTATTTTGAGGTGCGTTGCACCTAACCTTATCTACCCTCTTTGACACTTCTTACCGTGAGGATGTGTGTTCTGTCTTGAGAGTCCTCTCATGTGAGTCGTTGTGTGCGCTCAACCTTGAGAGTCATCAGCCTTCACATGGAGCATATGGAAGGAGAGGGCGGAGCTATCTGAAGGGCCCTGGACGAAGCACTGGGTCACGGTCACCATGCCAACCCACCGGGAGTAGAGCACGCATGCTTTGCTGTTTTGTCCCTTGTCTGCTTGCTGCACTGTAGAGGGGTGCTGAAGGGCAGGCCAGCCCTAGGGGCCAGACGAGACCAGGCGTCTATAAATAAGCACCGGCGGGATACCTTCCATTGGCTGTGATCGTCATCCTGTTTGCGACGTTAAAGAATTCCTGAGGACTTCGGGGGCCGTCCATAAAAACGCTTCCTGATCAGCCAATCGGTCGGTGTAAGGCTCGCTGCACGCGAGGATAAATACGGTTCAGGGCTGGCCAGTTCAGCAAGACTCGGGGCACAGGGGTGGGCCGTGTGCACACCTTCAGACATGCACGCTATCTGGATTGCTTAGGGACGTTGACGACAAGAGACATTCAAGAAGAATTGAGGGAGGGGTAGATTCCAGGTGATAAGTTTAGGCAAGATTCCATTCTGCAAACCGACCCAACAAACAATTCTATTTTTATTTTGATTAGTTAGATGTACAGCCATTGAAATCTGACAGACAGAATAGTTTAGAACTGTGCTTTGTTCATTGTGCTTCTGTTCGCGAACTGGTCAAAGTCAAAGTAGTTTCGTTCGTAGGAATCCGAACTTACCTGTTGAACCCAAATGTATCTACTCTGGCGCAGCCACCAATTAATTAATTATTTTTAGTTGGTCTGTGCACTATGCTGCAGTAGGCATCCAGAGTGTCCTAGTGCAGACTGTGTATAATGTTGTAGCTTATGAGTGACAGGGAGGTCCCACAACCGGACGACCGGATCTTGCGATCGGCTAGACGCCCGATAGCCCACTTGGCCTTAGGGCCAGAGGGTGACAGATTTCTATTCCGCCAGCTTAGGGAGAGGCAGCAGCAGCAGCGGAGAGCTATGGCAGCAGAGGCCAGCAGGGCGTTTGCAAGCGAAGCCGCTGTTTCAGCAGCCATGGCCACTGCTGCGCAGCAGAGTTCCCAAGCCGGTAGTTCAGAGTCTGTAAGGTCAGCAGTTGCACAGACTCTGAGTCAGTCCACTGGCGTCATGGCAAGCCAGCCATTACTGATGTCTCCCCAGGAGGTCGCCATACGGCGAGCTGCTGATCGCGAGGCACAGCTACAGCAGGCCTTAGGAGAGATTAAGGCAGAAAAAGAAAGAATGATTAGAAGAAGAGCCAGGATGCAGCAGAGGCAAGCGAACATCAGTCAGTTAGAGGAGATGGACCCTGCAGAGTTGGAGGATGATGTGAGGACCATACGGTCGATCTTGCTAAGTGTAGTAGAGATGCAAGATCACCAGATGGAGATCTTACAGGACATCCAGCAGAGTTTGGCCGTGTTAGTCGGGCGAGTGCAAGCGGCACTACCAATGTCCGGGCCCGGTGCGTGGCCCGTTGTACATCCTCCTCCTTTTGTCCCACCGGTGACTGGGGTATCCCCATATACATCCCCAACACCGGTCCAGCCCGTTTCCCTAGGTACTCCTTTGACAGGCGGGCTTTCAGCAGGTCCTAGTGTACAGATTCCTGTACAGTCAATGTATTCCCAACCTCCGTTGCCGGGTTGCCGTAACTGGGCAGCCTGCACAGCCGCAGGGTACACAGCCCCAACAGTCAATGCAGCAGCCTTCACCATAGGGTCCACACCCCGGAGTGATGCAGGGACCGGGACAAAGTCAGTGGGTACCAAAGACGACCATCGCCGCTCCGAAACCCTTTACAGGGGATAAGAGGGGCGAAGACCTCGACACTTGGTTGAGGGCCGTGTCAGTCTATGTCAAGTGCAAACTTACCTTGCCACACGAGGAAGTGATTGTGGCTGCATCCTATCTAGAGGGGAGTGCAGCACGATGGTTAAGTGGTTTAGTGCAGCTACAAGGGTACGGTCATGACTTCCGCGCTTGGGCGGTCACCTAAACATTGGATGACTTCCTTAAGTTGGTGGAAGACAGGTGGGATGATCCTCAGGAAGCCCAAAAGGCTACTGATGCGATCCTTACACTGCATACAAGGCAGTTTAAGTCAGTAAGGGAAGCCACTGACGCAATAGAGCGTCTGATCTGTGTCCCTGGGGTGCGCTATGTGACCCTCAGGTCTTACTCACCTCCTACCTGAGATGCTTTCCCATGCCTCTTAGGAATCAGTTGGCAGGTGAGGACAACATCAATATGCACAACTTTCCCTCGTTTAGCAAGAAGGCCCTAGACCTTGAGGCAAAGATAGGGCATGGACAGACACCCACTACGGATGGTAGGAGAAAGTCGCTCCCTCCCAACTGGAAGGCGAAGGGTCGCATTATGTTTGTCGATAACGATGGTTCAACCATCGAGTTAGATGACAACTTCCAGGAGGGAGTAGGTTCAAAGGCTGGCAGCGTAGAGGCTTCAGGGGGTGGAGTAGTCGCTGCCCTAGCTCAAAAAGGAAAGGCGACAATTAGATGCCGTGGAGGTTCTCGATCAAGGAGTCCAGTTGACCCCAATGCTCCCCCATGAGAGAAAGCGGGTCTCACTGAGGACGTGTGAAGAGATCTGTACACGCGGCAGGCTTGTATCCGTTGTGGCCAATATGCCATAACCAATTCAAGTGCCGAAATAAGAAGGTGACCAAAAAGATCCCGCCTACGATGGGGCAGGCGTTGGGATCCTCGACTCCCGTTGGTAGCAATGTGGCCAGCAGTTCTGGCACTGCTCCGAGAAACGCATCGGGCCAGTAGGAATGGTAGTTGTTCCTGCTAGGGTCGAGGTGGTGGACACACCCTCACCATCTCGAGAGATGACCCAAGCTACTGACTCCATAGTCGTCCCGCAAACACATTCTGACCCATCGAGCCTCTGTTCGATGAATGTGTCTGAATCAGCTAGAAGAGAAGTGGTCTAGATCAGACCCAGTAGCTTCTTGGACGCCATTGGCCAAAGCCCCTAAGGGAGAGATGTTCATCGGCGAGGTAGTCATCGGCGGTCGCAAGGCCGGGGCCTATTATGACACTTGCTCGACTAGAAACTTCATTAATCGCACGTGCGTTGA